TAATTGAATTAATTAGGGTCTTTAGTAATCAAAAGATACTTTGGATTAATTTAAATTCTTGGATTATCGAAATTGAGCTTCAAGACGATTAATGTGGTAATGAGAGGGTTAGGAAGTAAATAAGAAATTAGGACTCTAAAACATTCTTCTCTTGGTTGACGTTAGCTTGTTTGAGGATTAAAAGTTATTTTAATTGATCACTTTTAATATTTTTATTTTAATTATTCTAAAATCAATTTCAAGTTTTATTAACTTAACGTGAATGAATTTAAAACTTTAATTTCTAATCATTATTTTAATTAATTTTCTTAGGGATCAACTTTAATTTATCACTAGCTTCAATTACGACCAGTATACTTGTGATGTCTTTTAGTTTTTGTGGTCATCATATAATTTTCAAATTATCTTTTAATTTTTTCACAGGAGATAAGTTCAAAAATAAAATAAGAGATTTATATTTTTAGTATGCAGTACAAAAGTAAAAAAATTTGTACAAAAATTCGAAGTTTTTTTAATTTACCAATGGAATTCTTTTATTGGAAATAATTCACTGTTCAAAAACAGTATAATCAACAATAATTGTGGGACCCACCAATGGTTTTTTGGGAGAATTACATTGAAGTTCCACTCAAGGAAATTAATTATTATAAGTTTTATTGACAACTAAATTAAATTAATTATTGTTCATGCAATTTAGTTCAGTTGTCAATGGACTTTTCAGCAATTAATTTCTATATGCAGGACCTGATTGTAATTCTCTCTTTTTATTTTTCAAAATATAACTTTATTTTTTACATTTTTATGGTCACAATCTTTTTTCCGCTTCGTTTTAAAAAAAATTAAAGCATAATTGATCATCACTATTAACATTTACTAAAAAAATTTAATTATGATTTTATAATATCATGTAAAAAAAAGAAAAGAAATAAGTGAATTTCACTCTTATCCCGTGAGATAATCGCAAACATTCACCAAACACGTGGTTAATAAAAATACAAAAATGAAACTTGCAGTGATTGGGGTAATTTGAATTTGATCTATCCTCCTTCGAAACTCCGACCATCATATGCACAGTGATGGACCCAGAAAATTTTATTATTCGGGGCAAAATTTATAGAAGATAAATATTAATATTTTGAAATATATTTAAATTATTTATTAAATTAATAAAAAATAAAATCATGAAATTAAATACATAAGAAGCAATAAAATAGCTGATAATAGCTTAAAAAATAAAATCATCTTAATATAAGCACAAAAATATATTGTAAATGATAAAATAACTAATACCACCTTTATCACAAATTATAATACACTTTTAAGGGAGATTTAGTGTCTTAAAATATAAAAAAACTACATTTTTGAAGAAGATTTGGTGTCCTAAAATATAAAATATTTTGATAAAAATAAAGTTTTCTTAATGATAGTTTTTCAATATTACCATTTCCATTATATTTTCTTCTTAATATTCTTTCACAAATGGAGTATTAAATAAATAATATTTTTAAAAATTTACATTTTTGTTTTGAAAAAATAAAGTTGTAAAATTATTTAATGACTTTTATTGATATGTGTAATTTTGTCTTAAAGTGTTTTATAAATTAGGATAAATGGAGTAGCTATTTATATCATATTTGATTCTCTTTCTTGATGAAAAGAATCATATCCATGCTTTTTTAGAATAAATATTTTCAATATAAAGAATTAAAGATAGTTTTTCAATTTTACTTCTTATACTATTAAAAAAAAAGTGTTACTTTAAGTATGAATGAGTAGAAATTAAAAATTAAAAAAAATTTGACCTTAATATCCCTTAAAAAATAAAGATTATTTTATTTTGATAAGTAGAAAAATATTGTATAATATTTAATATATTTTTATATTTATATAATATGAACCAACATTTTTATTAGTTGCTCAAATTGATATCTGTACCTACTATAAAATTAGCAATACAAATAGCATTAGCTTCCTTGATTGGATCAGTTTTCATGCACGAAAACTAAAATTTTTAAACAAAAAACTGGAGTGCTGCGAGAGCAAAAACATTTTTGGGGGCAGAGCAAATGACAATTTTATGGAGGGGGAAAATGAAATTTTGCCCTTATTATAAACAAAAGATTTCATTGGTTTCAGCGGGGGGCAGCCGCCTCCATGAGGCTAAACATAGATCTGTCCTTGCATATACATAACAAAACATCAAGCCACTAATTGAGAGCTTGTATGATTCTAGCGTGTATTAGTGTTCTTTGACAAAAGGAAAAGGAACCACACACACACCCACCCACCCCGAGAGAGAGAGTCAAAAAGAAAAAGTTAAAAAAAGAAGTCGCAGGGAGGGCAGACACACCATATGCAATATATTCTTGAGAAAATGACAATAAAAATTTTTAAAAATATATAAATTATAATTTAATATCTTAAAATGCCATAATTTCTGTGAGGTCCCTTAAAACTTTTTTGTCATTAATGAATTTATATAAATTATTAAATTGTCCTTGTTAAAAATAAATGATTCGCAAATTTTGTTTAAATATTCACAACTTTCCTTCTTATATTCACAACAATGGAACAACAAAGCACAATTTCACATGTTAAATTCATTATTTGCTATTGCATTGTTGTGAATATAAAAATAAAATTTGTGAATATTTAAACAAAACTTGTGAATCATTTATTTTCAATGAGGATAATTTGGTAATTTATATAAATTCATTAATAACAGAAAAGTCCAAAGGGACTTCAGTTGAATTATGACATTTTGAAGGACTAAATTATTATTTATATATTTTAAAGAGATTTTGTTATTATTTTTTCTATATTCTTAAACTTAAAGAGTCTAAATGTCGCAATGCACAGTAGCAACAACATAAAAATTATAAAAAATTTTAATATTGTATTTAATAAAATAAAAATTATAAAAAAATTTAATATTAAATCTAGACTATCTTTGATACTCATCAAGGGATTAGCATCATATTACTCATCACCTTTGATGAGATTTGGACTTTTCTGGCTTGAAGCTTTTTTCTATACTATCTATGATACATTTAGATAGTCAATTTGTAAAAATTATAAAATTTTTAATATTAAATTAAATTATCTAGATTATATCTATACTATCTAAACTATATTTGAATGGTCAAACTATAAAATTAAAAAATTTGAATATTACGTTAGTCTGTCACTAAATTTGTACTGGCTAGATTGATGATGAATGAAATTATTAAAAAAAAAACTTGATAAAAATCATGCTCATCGCTTGATCAGCATTGAAGAAAATCTAAATTTAATATTAAATTTTTTATAAATTTTAATTTTAATAAATATAATATTAAAAACACTTCAAAATTAATTTAAAATGAATGACAGAGATTATTTTAAGATAAATTGAAAGACCCAGATCAGTTTTTGGGCTGATGAGCACCAAATAAATGCGAACGCAGAACATGACAACAAATATATAGAAATAATTTTCAACAATATATTCTTTCTCAAACCTGAGGAGTCTAAATCTCACGAAATGTACAGTAGTAACAACAGATCTGTTTATTCTAAAATGAAAAATGGCACAAAAGATTTTGCATATTAGAAGAACGTCTCTTAAAAGCAGAGTTGAACAAAGAAATTGGTAGTAACATTTTTAGCTTATTACGTACCCTCAAGAACGATTCAGTACTTTTTCTGTTCTCTTATCGAAGAAGACAAGAAAAAGAGAATAATAAAAAGAAAAGGAAGATTCCGGACAACATTGTAAAAGAATGAATCAATTTGCTATATAAATTAGAATGGAGCTGGTTAATCAACATTTGAGGATTAGCTCTACACTTCAGTTTCCGGGCTGCATTGATCAAAGTATACGGTTAGTTGTCTATTTTCTTGTAATTCATGAAATTTATGTAATTAATTAACATTGTTTCACTAATTTTGAATTTTTTTGTTCTATTTTTCATCTTATTCTTCCATTCCATCACTCAATATCAAACATGTAGATAGAAGTTGATGAATAAACAGAATCATCACTACCACTTATAAACTCACCAACACTCCTGCGTGCATGCATCATATTACTTATCACTACGCTGCCAAATCATAAGTGACAGTGATGAGTTTATAATCTTTCTGGTCTTAATTATAGGAGCTAGATAAGTAATTGATATAAAGATATTATTTAACTTAGTTATTCATATTAATTATTTGAAAAAAAAAGTGCGCATGCAATCAAGCGTGATAGTTTGGGAGAAAAAGGATAACAAATATGACTAAACTATAGGTCTAGGAATGTCTGGAAACCCAACTCATTTTTGGTGCAACATTTCCTTCAACTTTTAAAAATAGTGCAATCTAGCTCCTACCGTTGATAAAAATTAGCTTTGATCGTTAATTGATCAAAAAATGATAGATAAAAATATCAAAAATTATAATAAAGGACCCAAAATTATAAAAAAAAGGACCAAGAAAATTTTATTGGTTCTTTTTTGGGTAATTGGTAAGGTTTTGTCTATTATTTTTTGGTTAAATAACAGTCAAAGTTAATTTTTGTTAACATTAGAATCTGGATTGTACCATTTTTAAAAATTAAATAAAAATATTGCATAAAAAATTGAGTTTAGAGTCACAAACACTCCTAAACCTATAGTTTATGAACGAATTTGCTGTTTTATGTGCCCAAAATAAAGAATTAGAGAATATCTTTTTTTTTAATAGATTACCAATTAATATTGCATTGAAACCACTTAGTGGCTCAACCAAAGTACCATTTCTTTTGTTAGATGACTCGCTCATGAAAGTTTGTTCAATGAATGGCTAATATTATCTTAAATTCATAAAACTTTATAGACAGCTATCGAAATTCAGGGAATTTTTATCTGTTTGAAGCATTAGTTTTTTTCGGCCTTTGATAAAGAAAAAAATTATGATGTTCATTTTCTATATAAAGTATTAAAATGTGTGCATTTACTTTCTGTTTTTTCCTTCTTTCAGAACAATCTACCATATAACCCTTTTATCTTCACATACTTTAGTGAGTACGTATTATCAAAAGATGAAGACACAGAAAATGAAGATAATGGAGTCGATAGATTCTAGTCTTTCAATTGATGGCACAGAAAATGAAGAACAAGATTCCTTGATAGCTGACAAGAAGCTTCCCTTAGTTTCAAGCTGCTACATCTACCGAGTGCCACCAAAACTTCGGAAAGTGAATGAAGACGCCTACACTCCGGCCTTGGTTTCCATTGGCCCATTTCACCACAGAGACGAAAGATTGGAATCAACGAAGGAGCTCAAATTGCAGTACCTGCACAAATTTATGGAGCGGACGCACGAGAATTCAGTCGAGTATATTGAAAAATTGAGAGCTTGGGAAGGCAAGATTCGATGCTGTTATTCGGAGACCATAGCAATGGAAAGCGATGAATTTGTGAACATGATTCTAACCGATGCTTGCTTCATCATTGAGTTCTTTCTTGAGTTTAAGCATCCATTAGATAAAGACCCTTTGGCTGCAAAACCATGGCGTAGATGGTATATAATGCTAGATTTGATTTTACTTGAAAACCAGTTACCATTTTTTGTTCTTGAGGGCCTATTCAAACTAGCTTTTCCCAGTGGCTTCGGCTTTAAAAGGCTTTCGTTTGTTAAGCTTGCATACAAGAATTTCAGGACATCAGAGTTGCTGTGCTATGCAGGTGCCAAGAAAGCTCGACTCCATCTTACCTTCGAGCATTTTGAACAACAATACCTTACATGTTCTGAAGTCTATCACCTGAATGACATTCTAAGGATGTTTTACTTGCCGCATAAATTAAAAAAAGGTGAACAAAGCCAATCACCACCAGTGAAGCTTATATGTAGTGCCAGTCAACTACGTGAAGCAGGGATTAAATTTAAGGCTAAAAATCACCATGGTATGGCAGATGTGCACTATGATGATGGGGAGCTGAAAATACCATGTTTCACGATAACTGATTGGACTGAGACTATGATCAGAAATGTGATTGCATTTGAGCAGTGTCACCATCCATATGAAAGCTACGTGACTGATAACATAGTCTTCTGGGATCATCTTATAGACACTGAGAAAGATGTTGAATTGCTTGTTCAGAAGAAAATCATAAAGAACTTTCTGAGTGATAATAACGCGGTGGCTTTCATGGTTAATGGTCTCTGCAGGAATTTTGTCCCAATAAGTTCAAATCATGATTATGTCAAACTGTGTGAAGACTTGAACGACTTTTATGATAAACGTACTAACAAGTATAAAGCAATCTTTAGGCATGAATACTTGAGGACCCCATGGAAGATAGCATCTTTAGTTGCTGCAATTCTGCTGCTCTTCCTCACCTTAATCCAGGCAGTCTGTTCTGTCATCGCCTTATTTCAGAAGTAGGTCCAAAGATCTTGTACAACTCTCAAAGTTTGAATCTAATTCGTGTGATTGTTTTCTCTGTTTTTTCCCCTATAAAAGCCTATTTAGAATGGGTGAAAGGGGTTTCTTTAATTTAATTTATTTTTTCCTTTTCTTTTTTTTATTGATTGCTGATAAAATAATGGCTAATAAAATGTAAGTTATTGCAGTTTCATATATATCATCTGACTTTAAAAAAAAATTATATATTATGCTTACATGGAACATGAACGTATTGAATTACATGTTTCTATGTTTAATGGCATAGAAACATGTTGTACTAAAATAATAATAATAACAATATATCATCTGAGTTAGAGTTTAGCAAAAAAAGTGGAATCTATAAATTTAAGGAACTCAAAAGACTAACATGTTAGGTAAAAAAGCTCCTTGAACTTATAAACTTCAAATTTCTTGTAAGGCTCTAGTTCACACATAACATGCTATTTTACCTAATATGCTAGTCTTTTAGGATATATTTTCTATTTGGACTTGTGCTCATTATATTGATATTTCCATTGGTAATTTCATTGTACCATGGCATAGAGTGAATTATTATTATTATTAGTCCCAAATCTTAGGGAGCCTCATAAGAAAAAGGTTTATAAGTGTTGGCCGGATTACCAAGTGTGCCAAAGATATTGAGTTTCAATTGATAACAAAAAGGTCCCGGGCTCCATTACCACAATTCACTTGGATGTAAAAGATATGCAAGACTTAGTAGAACAAGTGTTTTGGATTATTATTGAAATGTGAAAAAATTATAAGTCAAAATTAAAGATAAAAACTAACTGATAAGCCTAAAAGCTATGAGTGCAGAATGCGAGTCTTTATTGAATGTTGACTGCCTTTCTTCTGTGCTTTGGTATCCTATTTATAGTGTCAAATTGGCGGTATTTTTTCCCTTAAGACCTAGAACATTAAGTGGAAGAATCAGGGATCCCGTGAAATTCATGGCAAGGTCTTTACTCAGTGTCTTTCATTTATGGCGACTAACCCTTCTCACCGAGATACTTGGGCATGATGACGCTGCTCTCACAGATTCTGGGATCATGTCTTTATGTGCCAATGGTCCAAGGTTTGCAACTAGCGAGATTTCAGCGTGCTCATCCTGTCATGGCTTTTTATTGAGCTCAAGGCCAACCCTTCTATTTAGATTGTTGATTAGGCTTGACTCTTCAGTCACTCAATCAAAATAGCTTTATTACCTATCCAATGCTTTGGCGAGCGATGTTTTATATTTTAACCCAAACAATACCTCTCGCGTGCCAGTAGTTGATAACATAAGCCACATGGCACATTTGAAAAACTGAAACGTCATTTCGTCTTTAAGCACCCTTTGTTAATATAAGCTTATTTCTTTTTCTAGTTATTTCTCTTACCCTTCTTGCCATTTCTTATAGTTTAAGCTTTTACGCCCCTTGCTTTGTTCATCCGCTTGCTTAAAAATGGCTTCCTCTATTGCCGCCGCCACCTCTGCTGCTCTATCTAGCACTTCTGTTGGAAGTTTACTTGATTCCTTGGTCACCATCAAGAATCCTGTTATTTCACTAGGAGGATTGAGGACGGTACATATCTTATTACTAAACTCATATTTCCTCTAGATTAGGTTCTTATTTTGATATCTCTCTATTTCTGTTTCAGGAGGACTCATCATTCCATGATTCCATCTCCTTTTAGTAAGCTTCTCACTTTTTGTTTGGCCCTTATATTTTATCAGGGGTAAAAATGCTGATTGTTTATTGTCTTTCTAGTGCCTCTCTCTAGAGCTTTTAAATCACCAACAAGAGTGATATTGAGTATCTGACGATTTCTCTCAACCTCTCTAAAGTGACTGCTCCCACTCAGCCAAATCCATGGCCGTTGACCTTAGTCCACAACCTAATTCTAGCCTGGATGACTTCACTGTTCACCGAATCATCTTGTCAAAAGCTTCAGAATTAGCCTCAATCTCCCTATGCTCGAACCAACTAGGTGAAATGCTTGAGGTAGACCCACAAGCAATAGTGAAGAGAGATAGGTCTTTATGACCTCATCCAACTTTCATTGGCGGACGTCAACATTTCGATCAACCTACTAATAGCCTTTCTGAGTCTTTGGGTGCCAGGCTATAATACCTTTATCTTCAAACTGAGTCCCATGTCGATCACGCTATGGGATGTATTCATGTATTTGGGGCTACCAATCACCAGGGAGGAGAACTTCTTTGCTATCCCTAAAAGGCATGATTCCTATATCACCCTTTCTACCAACCTGGAGAATAAGATTAGGGGTGTTGGATCCTATATGAAGATCATGGAGCTATTCTCTGATAAACCAACTAACAAGCCTGTCACCCCTATAAAGCATCTGGTTTTTATTTGGATCCTGTTGAGCTAATGGATCCTACCCCTTGGAAGAGGAAAGCCCGTGCAACTGCACCTATAGATTGCTCAGTCCCTCCTTGGTGGCAACCAACTAGCCTTGGGGATAATGTTTCTATGCCCTCTATATGATGATATAAAGAAGTCCTTAATATGCTCATCCTTTAGACAAGTTGAAGAACTTCTTTAAGTTCTTTTTTCGATAGAGCTGGTCTTGTGAAGGACCTTAAAGCCATTTAATATAGACCGCCACCTCCCTACCTGGTATAAATTCCTGGTCAATTGAAAGAACAAGCCCACCTCATTGCTAAAGGATGAGGTTTTTCTATCAACCATAACTCCCAAAAAAATGTACACTAGCTCTTCCTCCAAATCCCTAAAGGTCTATTTGGAGTCATATCACTTTCAAATGGTGGTGAGGTAGTTCGAGTTAAGCCAATGCATTTCCAGGGGACTGCCCCCAAGTTAACATAGAGCTGCTAGATTGAAAGGCCATCGATCAAATAACCGTTCTACACACTACTTAAAAGTAGTGCAAGATGAAACTAGTAGATAGAGATGCTTGCCTCCATTTTAACAAATAGTGGCCCCAGTGCTTTAGACACATTATAAAGAGCCATACCAGTAAGTATTGTTCTTTATATTTTCCTTTTTTGCTTTTTTGATGTAATCTGACCTATTTTTGAATCTTTGTGTTGATGTAATCTTTATATTTTCCACACCAGATAGGCTATAATTGAACGCAATCACATGTGTTGGTGAACTTCTTGAGGGGGAACATCGATGGTCCCATTGCTTTAAACACCTAGATGGCCCCTTCATAAGGATCCGTAGTCAAAGAGATTGAGAGGGATGATGCATCTTCTCATGTCTCGGTCCTAAAAAAGCTCGGTCCTAAGAAGAGTCACCCCTAAGCCACCCGAATAAAGGAGATGATCTTAACAAGAGAAAATAGGCTTCGTCTCCTCTATCTGAATCTAAAAGGAGGAAGAAGACATCACCCCTCCTTTTGGATCAACCTTCATCTACTCCTCCTCTAGTCGAACCCGCTCCTCTAAAGGGAAAACATTTACAAAAGCATCATCATACCATAATCCTATCAGTTAACTCCAATAAGGGTAGGATAAGTCCCCTTCACCATAAAGGGTTAAAGGCCTAGACTCCAGATCCTCAGGTGGTCACTTTTACCGCCATGCCTGAGCTAATACTAGATACTCAAGTGGTTACATCTTTTGCTATTCCTGTAATAGCTCTAGATTCTCAGGGGGTTGCCTTTGCTATAATTCCTGAGGTAATCCTCAAAGACCCTAGAAAGATCGCTCACAAGGTGGCCCTAGATGTGGTGGAAGGCATAGAAGACCCTGTGGTTGCCACTGAGGTTCGAGAAGCCATACCTGCCATAGCATTAGATGGTGATAGTAACCTAAGAGGTTTCAGGACTGCTACTACCCAAAAGGGTGTTCCCATTGCAACCTAAATAGTGACTTGAGGTTCGAGGCCAATAAGGTTTGGGAGGTTGCCTCTACCAAGGCCTTAGAGTTGGTTTTCCCTATCAGCTCAGCAGGAGGTATTGAGACTAAAGGCTCTAAAAGACCCTTAAAAGAGCCTTCAATAGTGACTGTCACCAGTCCCATAACTACTAGCACTTTAATTCTAGAGAACATGATAATCGCTTTAGCCTCCACTCAGGGTGTCTCAATATGAGGCCAGTCTGAGCCTACCACACCTAAGGTCATGTGAAGAAGTCTTTATAGTCAGCTACACACTCCACCTGTACCCTCTATTCTATAGGTAAAAAGAAAGCACTTATAGACCCAAGTTAGGTATCAATCTATTATGCTCTTTTCTCTTGTCTATTTTCTTTCTTTTTATTACTATTGCTAACTTACTTTTTTCTCTCTTTAGCTTGCTTCAATGAGGGCGATCCCAACTAACACCCTTCTAGCTTGCATCCATGTTCCTAAAATGGATGTGGTGTTGGATGCTTGGAGGGTCATTCAATTTCAACTCAGTTGAGATCCGCTTTTGCTTCTTGAGCAGAATTACAAGGAGATGATTGGGCCATAGATGCAATGGAGAAGGCTGTCCCTATGCTTGAGCTAGAGTTCCTCTGTAGCCAAGTCCTAAAATGCTACGGCATCATCAACCGCTATCATACGGAGCTCTCATTCCTTTCAGACTATTTAACAAATAGCTAATCTGTTAGGGATGAGTGTCTTGATGCCAAGGCTTGAACAACTGCTACCAATGATAGAGCCCAAGAAATCGCTCCTTGGGTGGATAATCCCCATTCACTATGGGCCAAGGTAGCTGACTTAAGGCATCAATTGACAGCTGCTGAAAAGGAGCTTGCACAGGCTAAAGAGGGTAATACGAATTCTGAGCTAGAGGTAGCTAATAAAGCATTGGACAATGCACATGCCATCTCAAAAGAAAAGCTTTGCATTATCTAATACACAGGCGTGTATCCTTATTTTGTATGGATATCATTGGCTGGGATTTTATAGATAACTTTTGAAATCATCCTGCCAATCTTGAGCTAACTCTTGTGAGATTGCACCATACTATACTGTCAAAGCATGCTGAGAAACTAAAGGATGCTTTTTTCGTTCTACCATA